CATAAGATGAGGAATGAATGAACAAATTATAGTGTAGAAATGCAACAAAATATTACTGTGAAAGGGATAGATTCAGGAAACTTAAAGAACTTATGTGATACTGATACACAAGAGGACTGATACTTAGTCAAGTGGGGAAAACCAGAAAAGCAATGTACGTGATTGTAACATTGAAAAGGAAAACAACTGTGAAAAACAATTATGAGCAGTGCAATTATCAACTACTGCTCTAGAATACCAACAATGATTCACATTTCCTACATCTAGACAGATAGGTGTTGGACTAGAGATACAGAATGAGTCATTTTTAGACATGATCAACATGTAGATTTTTTTTCCCCTCCTGATGCTACTTATTTATTACAAGAGAGGCCTTATATTTGGGGAATGGGAGTAGAAGATTTATTGGGATAATTTAGTGAGTAATGCAAATAAAGAAGAAAAAAAGACTATCAATAAAACTAATAAACACAGAAAAGAACAGAGGGAGGTTCAGTGGAAGACACAGATAAATAAGTTATATTGGAAATAGAGAATCATGGTGTCATAATCCTCTTCTTCTGTTCTTTGTACGTGGAAATGTTCATACATGTTAATATTAATCAAACTTAAAAAGAAAAGAAAAAATGTTTTATTTTAAAGACACCCTGTGTCAGAACAATAGTAACCAAAAAGAGCAATGTCTGTGTTAGACTATCCTACAAAACCAAAATGCCCAGAAATTCCATGTGTAGTAGTTATATTTACATAATCCAATTTTAGCTAAGGATTAAGGCCTGAACTCCAACAACAGAACTGAACCCTTTGGTGAATATTGTTGTAGCTAAGAATACAATCCATTTACTCCACAATTTTGCAGTTTGAACATTCCAGTTTTGTAACAGTTCTTTGGATCACGTAATTTGCAGGTTTCTTTTAGCCTTATTTTTTCTTTTAAATTTTCCTTTTTAGGGAATTTTAATTCTACAATTGGAGAAGAGATTTTCTAGGGACCAACTGTCCTTTTGTTACTTTTGAAATGTCTCCACTAAAGTCTTATTCTGATACTTCAAAGTATTAAAAGCTTTTCATGTGGGCTCACTGATACTCTGAATTTCATTCATCTGAGAATCAGACTAAGCACTCAGAGGTTTATCACCAGAATACTGGCAACCAGATGACATGCCTACCATTAAACACCAATTTTTTGGCTATCGCTACCCACTTAGAAGGGGTTACAACCTGTGCCCGTAGAGGGAATGTGAAACAAGCAATGTAATCGTTGATTAGAATGTATTGATAAATACTCTACATGGACCAATTGAAGTATTATTGAAATATCTTAAACAGCCTTAACTGGAATTTTAATTTTTAAACTTAATTTTGTCTTAAAGTACCATTTTTAGAATTGGTATGTAAAAGCCTTTTGCGTATTGCTTATATCCTCTCTGAATAACAACAACAAAAGGACCAAAGTGCTATCCGACCAAAGGACCATAGACATAGAGCTGGGAAAGTGTTCAGAGGCCATGTAGTCCAAATTCTCATTTTGCAAATGAGAAAACTGAGCCCAGAGAGATTAAGTGACCTCTAATATGACCTACGACTTTTGTCTCAGATTATTCTTGCAGAGATGGGTCCATGGATATGACACATTGCATATATTGTCAGATTTTTTTCAACATATTAATCAGTTTTCATGATTTTTTCTTCTTCTTCTTTTAATTCTTTGTCCTAAGAGACAGCTTTCTGGGAGGAAGGAGGGGAAGAAAAAGAGCGAAATAGAGATGATATGAAAACAAAAAATATCGATGAAAGTCTATTTTCAAAACCTTAATGAGTTCTTTATCCAGTTGCATACCACATTCCGGGCAATATTCATTTTTCATTTGCTTTTTTAAAAATCTAGTGTGGATGATTAGAATTATTGGTACAAATGACTCCAGATTCTATTGAAAAAGGGTTTGTGTGTTTTTATAACAACAAAATTAATATAATGTCCTCTGTCAATAGACACATTTGGAGAATCTCATCAATGTAAGGAAAACTCCTTTCGTTTAGATACTGCTCTGGACATTCTGCATAATATTAGTGAACACTTCAGGCAGGTGCATGTCAATGGTAGGAGAAATAACTACCAGCAAACCCTTACCACTAGCTGGGGTATTTCCCTATCCTAAAATCTCTCAAAATAGTCCTTAAGACTTAATTGGCTTCATGAACTTGTGAAATGGCTTTGGCCATTGCCACAATCCTGGTTTACCTAAGGGCATAAAAGATGCCTGCCCAGTGGGAGTCAAGGCCCTCCAGACTTGGTAAATCACACTTTGTCCTGCTGACCAGACACATTTCTGTATGGGTAGAAGGAGGGTGGGGCCTGAACTATCTGACCTAAGTGTTACATTCTTATTGAGTGTCTTCTCTATTCTATAGCTAAGTAAACTTCTTTTTGTTAACTGATGATCTACAGGTACCTCACTTCATTCCAGTTCTGAACCTGAAGCACCAGACTGTCATGAATCAGGCCCAGCCCACTAGACTGCCCTCATTTTTAAAGTTTCAATTGATGTTAATACTCAGTAGATCATAAAATTATTTCTGTCAAACCTGTTCAATACTGTGTGATTTAAATACACGTGAGGCACTTTGCTTACACTGAGACAAAAAAGCTGCACTTCATTGTGTGGCAGCCTGCTGTTTTGAAATTAACCAACATTGTCAGCTGTATGACTGGGAAGATATAGTCTGCTCCAGAAAATTGTCTGTGAAAGCTTTCCTGTTCTCCTCCCATTTTCATCATTTCCCTCAATCTGGCATTTGAGATACTCCATAATCTGGCTCACCTCTACCATTTCAATCATATTGAATATTAACTCCCTCCTTCATGTACCTTTCCATCCAGTCAAACTGCCTGGCTAGCTGTTCCCTAAACATGGGATTCCTATCTCTGTGCCTTCTTTTCACGAGTGATTTCCCCATATCTGGTATATATTCCCTCAGCTCCACTTCATGGAATCTCTGGTTTCCATCAAAACACAGTTAAGGTGCCACCTCCTAGTTGAGGTATTTCCTGTTCTCTGTTGTTAATGCTCTCTCCCTCCTGAGATTTTTTTTTAAATTTTGTATTTACTTATACGTGTATTAGTTCAAGCCACCCAGTAGAATGTAATCTCCTTTAGGCCAGAGGATGTTGAGTTTTTATATTTGTTCCCACTAGGCTTACCACAGTGTTTTCATGCTTGGTAAGTAGTTATTGAATGCAATTAAATGTGTGTGTAAATAACTTTAGATAAAGATGTTATAGAGATAACAAAGTAGACATATATGTAGAAATCAATAGTTGCTGTTGCCTTTGTGGGAAAAACTGTTTGCTGCTCCCAATTTTTCCCATTCTTTGGGATGGATCCATCTCTGCCATTCTACCACTGTCATAAGACATAGAAAAGAACTATACATACTGAGGACCGTTTTGTATTCATTTGTTGTTGTTTAGTTGTTTCAGTCATGTTCAACTCTTTATTGACCCCATTTAGGGTTCCCTTGGCAAAGATACTGGAGGCTTTGCCATTTCCTTCTCCAGCTTATTTTAGAGATAAGAAAACTGAGGCAAAAAGTGTGATTCCCAGTCCAGTGCTTGATACACTTCACCACCTAGCTGCCCCATTCACGTGAACTGCCTAACCCCATGATCAGCTTTCTATAGCAAGAAGTCTTTAGCTATGCCTAGGCTGGTCTTCACATAGTATATTCTAGGGAAGCAGCTGAGTAGGATGCTTGTGAAAGATCATGGGCTCATAAACCTAGAGCTGGTAGGGGCTTTGGATCTAGTTCCATCTTCTCATTTTACAGATGAGAAACTGAGGTCCACAGAGGTTAAATTATCTGCCCAAGTTCATACAGATGATATGAATCAGAATTTGAATCCATATCTTTTGACTTGAGCTAGGGCTCTTTCCACTGTACCATACTGATTCAGATTGTGGAAAGTTTGGGATACCAGGCTCAGAAGTTTTTATTTTATTCGCTAGACAATGAGGAACCACTGCTTTGGGCATGATCATCTTCTCCATATTTTTTTTTTTTTTTTTACAGATGAGGGACCTTTAGGAAAATTAAATAACCTGCTCATGGTCACATAGCTATTAAATAATGGTCCTTTCCACTGCCAATCTTACATAAAGGGAGATAATAATGTTTTTATTTTCAAAAGTATCCCTCTGAGTTAGAGGCATATAAAACATGCCTATACATGTTCTATAAAGGAGACAAATATAAATAAGAGTGAATGGTCTCAAAAACATAATGCAATTAAGCAAGGTTAAACAGTAACTATCAATAAAAATTTGAAAATAAGATTTGCCTCACAGAAGCCTTAATATGTACTGAGAGAATCCATTATAGTGTTTTTTCCCCCCAATTTAACTATGGAACCAATTCTTTCAATTCAGCGCTTTTATAGTATTAAATTCTTCATCATTCATTTCCAATATTTAGAACTTGGAAATTGTTTCCATCTACATTTTATTATCTTAAGAAAGTTTTGATTTTGTATGTTATATATATTAAATATGTATTGTTAGGGCCTTTTATCTGCTGGTCTTCTTTTTAGCTCTAATATAGTATATAAAATGTAATAAGCTTGTCAATTGATGCTGATCAATCAGCAAGTATTTATTGACCACTCTTGAAAATCATTTGAAGTCTCAGAGATTTGGAGGTTTGCAGTAAGATTAAGAGCTGAAGGGACCCTAGAGGTCATCTAGTCAAACTTCCTCATTTAATAGATAAGGCTACTGGGGATCATAAAAATTAAGTGACTTCCTCCAGTGACAAGACCAAGATTTGAACCCAGGTCCTCTGACTCTAAATGCATTACTTTCTTTCCTCTTACACGTAGCAGTTCCCTGGAATAAAGATCTCTCAAAATAAATTTATCCTTTTCAAAATTTTTCTCCAACAGTAATAGTTAAATAAATTTTTATGACAAAATTCAGTTTGTGATTTATTTTCTCTGTTGATACCTTAATCCTGCAGATCTTCTTATCACCAAGTAGGCATCTACAGCATAGCAAAACAACCACCAGAAGCAGGCACTATATAACAGCTGGATCCACATCTACATTAGGGAGGGAAAAGTATACATTAACTCGCTTGAAAACATTCACCATATTCCCAGACCATCCGTGAAATGAAACATTAGAAGTCCACTTCCTTTGACGTTATTAATTCAACACATGAGTGCATTCAGTTAGACATGTGGCTGTAGTTTTTGCAATGAAAGAAGGATATTCATCTTGTGATACATTGTTCCCTCTACTCGACTAGATATGTTTAAAGAGCTTTGTTTCCTTTAACACTTTTCCACAGGGTGGATAAAGTACATGGTGAAATGTGCTAGACTTAAACTACAGTAGCATCTCCTAGGAGTTTACAAATTGGAGCACCTTTCCTTCCATTCGATCAATGGAAAAATGGTTAGGAAATATACCTCAATTATGATAGAAAGGAACTGTTTAAAAAACACCAACAGAATATCTCTCTAGTATGAAGTAAAAATATTCATTCAGCTGTAACTGAGAAAGGTTTTGGGGACAGGCAATGAGAAAGGGTTTGCCTTCTCTTGAAGGCGACAGAGTCTTTTGTTAGGTGAAAATAGAACCAAAGTAATTTTCCTCTGTTAATCTTTTGAGGGAGGTGTCTGGATGTAATTTCATTGGATCAGAGAACTCCCAGTAAAGAAGTTCCCTCCACTGATACATATCAGCAACTCCTCCATAACTTTTTTGGTCTTAGTCAGTTGGCTTTAAACATGGAAAAGTTAGGTAACTTATTCATTGTCACACAACCAGGACCTTCAGAGGCATCACTTAATTTTCCTACCCCCAACGTTATCCACTAAACCATGCTCCCTCTTCTCTGTCTACAATTCATTGATTAACAGCACAAAAGCTTTGAGGTTCACTTTGTCTTATTGAGTACAAGAGTTGTCCTAATTCGAAAAACTCTGGCTAAAGGTCCTTTGCTGTTTCTACCCATGGAGGATTTTATGGCGTAGATAAGAACTGCTCAGAATGAGAAGGCATGGAATGTTACATGCACCACTGGAGGAAATACCTACATGGATCATGGATCAATTGAAATATTGAAGTATTATTTTGATGATAATGAATGAATTCCATTTAGAATGAGGATATCATCTCTAGAAAACACTCCTCTCCTGTTGTGCCTTCCATTACATTCCATACTATATAAATGTGTGTGTGTTTGTGTGTGTGTGCACATGCACGAGTGCATTTGGGGTGGCAGGCAGTCAGATAATAAAGTAAAAGGTAGGAAGAGGGAATTGGGATTAATGAGAGAAATACAAAGATGGTACTTACTGCACTTCCTACACAGAAAGCAGTAGGCCACACATCTGTTCCATTCACCACGGAGATATTTCCAATGAAATCTGGAAATCCTAACCATACTGTAGACCTGAATATGATACCTAAGGGAATAATGAAGTGACCTTCTAAGTCTGTAATTCCAATTAAATTTGCATGCTTACATGTAGTTATGTTTCAAGTTATATCCAGAGAGAAAACAGACAAATACACACGCACTCACACACAAACGAATGCAATAGCTAATAAATATTTGTAAAACTGACAGAAGAACTTCAGGGCTTAGCTACAAAGTATCTTAACCTATTTTAGAATAAAGGCAAAGAAGCTATTTTTGCTTCTCTCACTGTGTTGATTCACTACTAAAAATTGATGTATTTTCAACTCTTTTATTACACATTTCCCATAAAAATATCTATTATAGAAAAAATAAATCTGAAGTAATAAAAGCTATTACTTCATCTTTTAAACATAATCTCCTAAATTGATTACCTATATTTCTCTATAAAAAGATAATGACAATGTTGTCTTTTAAATGTTCCTTTTTTATTTTTCTGAACTACTGGTTTCATTTCTTTCCTCAAATACTTCTAAAAACTGAGCATACTGACTACTTCATTAGATGATACTACTTGTTTACAAATGTATTATTATGAGCACTTAAATAGGTAACATGAACAAGAAAAGATGGGTCACAAAATGACTAAAGTTAGTTGTTGCTTTTTTTTTTTGAAGAGGAGATGCTTAGATACCTTCTTCCTGTTATCCAGTCGTTTCTAAAAAAATAATAAAGTTTGATATTTTTATTAGAATATTATATACTGGCATAGTAAATAGAAAGCTACCCTTGGAATCAAGAAGATGTGAGTTCAATTCCTGTCTGAGTCACCCGGCTTAGTGACACTAAGCAAGTCTCTTAATATCTCAGTGCCTCAAGCAACTCTCTATAAATCAATCAACTAGCATTTTTAAGCACCTACTATGTGCCAAGCACAGTGCTAGGTACTCAGGATACAAAAATAAAAATTAAGGAGTTTAGAGTCTGTCGGGGAGATAGTGTGTATACACACACACACACACACACACACACACACACATACACACAAAATAAATATCAGTTAACTGTGGGCAGAATGGAGTGGGAATGGAAGGCACTAGCAGCTGGGGAATCAGGAAACATTTCATGTAAAAGGTGATGCCTAAACTGAGTTTTGAAGGAAACCAGGGATTCCTAGAAGTAGAGATTAAGAGGAAATACATTCTGGGTATGGGGCACAGCCATTAGCAAAGGTACCAAGATGGGAAAAGGACTGTGTGAGGAACAGTAAGAAGGCTAGATTGGTAAGGTATATGAAGGGGAGTAATTTATAGTAAGATGGTGAGATGGGTTGGAGCCAGGTTGTAAGGAGCTTTAAATAACATACAGAGGATTTTATATTTGATCCTAAAGTTAAAACAGGAAGCTACTAGAGTTTAATGAGCAAGGGAGTGACATGGCTAGACTTGCACTTTAAGAATATAACTTTGGCAGCTGTGTGGAAACTGAATTGAAGGGAGAAACTGGAGATGGGATATTATAGTACTTCAGGTCAGAAATGATAAGAGTTTGAACTAAGATGGTGAATGAGAGAAATGATTATTAAATAACAAATTATTGAGGAAATGCAGGGTTTTTTCCCCTTTTATTTCTTTATTCTCTACTAGGTCAAGCCAGCATCGAAGGACATTGGGGATAGTGAGGATGGATTAATTTTCTCCTCAATCTTGTTCAGACCCTACCCAAGTGGGGAAGCCCATTATGCTCTACTCAGGCTGGGGGTGGGTGTGGGGGAGTAGTAGATCCTTCTTCTAGATTGCCCAAGACTGGGGGTGGTCTGGGAGCAAGAGTGATCAAAGTCACAGTCCCTAGTCCCTCATTAGAATAAACCTACCTCTCATTATAACATTCATTCTCTCATTACTTATTAACCAATCAGAATTGATTTCCACACTCAGGTACTGAAGGGTCCTTTGGTTCATGAGAGATGGCCAAATGACCATCCTTTTATTAATTATTTGTTAGCATAATTAACAAAATGATTAATTACCCAGAAACTGTTTCTTTCTTTCTTTTTTTTTTCGCTAGACAATGGGGTTAAGTTACTTGCCCAGAGTCACACAGCTAGTAAGTGTCAAGTGTCTGAGGCCAGATTTGAACTCAGGTCCTCCTGAATCCAGGGCTGGTGCTCTATCCACTGCACCACTTAGCTGCCCCCAGACACTGTTTTTGAAGTTTTTATATGTCACATAGCCCTGTGAACAGTGAGAAGGGATCAGATGTAAACAATGCTGTAGTAGTTTGTGAAAATGGCAACTGATCTGATCTGTGGGCTGATGTTAGGTCTGACCCTTGACCTTGTCACCTCCCACAATTGATCCTCTTCCATGGTCAAGAATTCTGACTGTAACACCCTATTATTCCACCTCTTCCTGTGCCTGTTCTTTGTCCTTACCCAGATCTTGAGTTCTTCCAGCCTTCTTTGCTCTCCCAACCCTTAACCCTTAAAGGTTTCCATTTCTCCCATTCTGATACTGAACCTATAGTTAACCAATTCAACTTTATATAGTTTCCTATTTTCAAATCCCTTTACAGGGATGGCAAGATCAAGAATGTAACCATCCTTGATTATATAGAAGCAGAATGAGGATCATGGTCATGGGAATTGAGAAGACTGAGGGACTGGGAGATGATAGTGTTAGAAAGAAGCTCAATGTGTATTTACTATTTGTTTAAAATCCCCTAATACAAAGGGCAGGAGTTGGAGTAGAGAATACTATGAAACGGGTCCTGAACTCTTTGGAGAAAAAAGGAGAATAGATTTAGGACCAGTAGACAAAGTCACCAGGATCTAGATTATATGATAAATTTGGAGAGAGTGAACCACAAAGGAGGAGAAATTGCTGAGTGATGGAAAGAAGAACATGCAAATGGAAAGGGGGAATAAGGAGTATTCTGACTCTTCTTCCAGTACCACCATGTCAGGGGTAGAAGAGAAGGGGGACCCAGACAAATTAAGGTTCTATATTGCAGAGCAAGGCAAGCGCAGATCTACCATTGGTGGAGAGACTTTGCTATACCAAGGAAATCATAGACCCAGTCCAAAAACAACAAACAAAAACTTTTTACAAAATGATACCACTGCCTTATGTTTTAAACAGTGCTTTGTACTTTTAAAAATAGTTTAAAAGTAGATAATGAGATACATTTTCTCATTTGATGTAACAAATTGGAGAAGTGGTCAGGCATCATTTCCCTCATTTTACACTTGAAGAGCTTGAGGCTCAGAGAGGTTGTCACTTTTCTATAATTACACAGGAATTTCCTGACTCATATTGTAGTGGATTTTCTACCAGACCATGGTAACACAATTCTCATTATTTCTTAGAGCTAAAAGAATATGTAAATACTAACTCCTTTAAAATTATTTTATTTTTAAATTTCTATTGATGGCTTTCGTTTTTGACATCACTTTCATTCTAAATGAATCCCTCCTTTCCCCATCTAAGTTATCCCTTGTGACAAAAACTAAAAAAGAAAAACAGAATAAAAAAAAGCCTGTTCAGCAAAACTCTCCAATGCATCAATTCAATCTAATAGTGCATGTAATGTTCCAAACTGCAAAATTAGGGAAGGAGGTGGATTTTCTTTTTATCTCCTCTTCTGAGCAATCTAAACAGATTTTTTTTTTAATTAAGAAGCTTAAGGACATAAAAACTCATGTACAACTAAATGACTCTTCTAAAGTTATAAAGAAGAATCATAATGAAAAGTCTAATGAATTCTGTCCATTAAGCTGAGTAAACCAAAAGTTTCACCCCAAGTATGTGACTGACTACTTTCTCTCCTTCTTGCACCTCAAGTTTTTTTCTCCTAACCAAGTCTCTTGAATTTTAAAATGACATTTCTGAAGCCTAAGCTTACAGAATCAATGGAAAGAGCTGTAGGGCGTGGCCACTGCTCCACTTACTGCCCAGAAGTTGGAGGCTGATGTGTGCTGCCCCTTGAATGGAGCAGGAGGCAAGCCAAACATTCTAATACCCTCTCCTTCCAACAGAAAACATTTACTTCCAGCCTCCTGACTTTAGGCATGATCAGCAACACCTGGTTCGTAATTCAGCAATTATGTCAATTCAATTCAGCAAACAGTTATTAAGGGTCTACTAAGGGCTAGGCATTTATGAATCAGATTATAAATTACATTTTCCCCTACAAGAACAATAACTTGAAAATAAATTCAAACTATGCTGATCTTGCATCTTGTATTGATTGTCCAGGCCAAAGAAATAAAAAATAAAAATTACTTTTCTCCTTCTAGCCCAGAGTTAAGTGGGGAAGAACTCTCATTCCTCCATTTCATCCTGACTGACTGAAAAGCAGCCTTCAGATTGTGCTTTGAGATCACCCCCCAAGAGCAACTTCCCTCTAACTCTTTGGAGCGGGTAAAGAACCCCACAGACCCCTCTTTACCTAAGCAGCCCAGGAGATCACAGGCAGAGACGAAGAGCAGGATGGTGGCACAGGAAGTTTGGGGGAGCTTCTTGGGCCCCTGGCTCTTCTTGGGGAGGAGCTGTAAGATGCTGAGCAGCAAGTTGAAGGAGGCACTCCCGAGGCACACCCCATTAAATACCTGGGGCTGGAAAGCTAGCACCAGCTGCGTGGCTGCATCCCGGTTGGGGCAACAGAAGGTCTCGAGCCTGGGAGATGCCATGGAAAAGTCCACCCTGTGGTATGTGCAGAGATCTGTGGCCCCGTCTGCTTTATTCAGAGGCAGGGAGGTCTCCTCATCCCCCACAGATCCCTGGCCTCAGGGATTAGATCATGTGCTGTAGCTGGGCAAGGAAAGATCATGCGGATGGCTGCAGCTCAGGCTAAAGCCCCCCCTTTCCAACCCCCAACCAGAGCTGACTTTCTTCTCCTTTCTTTTCTCTCAGAAACTACCTCTAAAGGGGATGGTCTCCAGTCAGGTGAAACTTCTCCCTTCTGAACATTTCTGAAAAGATACTATTAAGGCATCCCTGCAAAATTCTTGGTAAAAAATGATTGTAGGAGAAGTAGTAAATGGATAGATAGGACTTTTCAGTCTCGTTAAGGCAAGCCAAGCCAAGCTTTGAATTCATTCAAAGTCTTTTCTTATTAAAAAAAAAAAATACGGCCTTTAGCCTTCCTTTTTCATCTCTAAAGGATCTAACAAGACAGGCAACGAGATGTGGTGGATTAAGAAGTGACTTCAGAGTCAGGAAGAGCTAGGTGTTTCCAGTCCTGCCTGTGCCACATACTAACTGTGACCAAGGGCAAGGCATTAATCTCTCATTACCCCTTGCGGTACCCCTTTAAATACAAAAGTCATAGAACAGTTGCTGATCTGTATCGATTGAGGGAGTTTCCTTACTGGGAAGTCCCTAGAGTGATGAAATCACAGGTCTAGACAAAAATAAAGTTCTAGTAAAGATGAATGACATATACCAATTACTCGTCTGCTTTGGGTTTAGTTAGGTCACTTTGCCATGGTTCATAAGCTATGATTGACCATGAAGTAAAAAGTGGGTGCCATTTTTCTTTAACCTCCAGCCTGGAAATCAATTTCCTATCAAGAGAGTGCTTTTAACCTTCACAGCCTCCAACTAAGACCTCTCTATAAAGCCCAATTCAGAAGTGATTTTCAAGACAGACTGTCCACGTTGGACACAGGCTATTTTCAACATGGAATAATGAGTGTCTTTTTCTGAACAATCTGACTGCATTTCAGGGTCAGATGTTTAAAGAACAAGAGATTCAGTTTTTGAATTTTTAATGGCTTTACAAATAAAATTTCAAATTTGAATTTCAATGGATTTCCCCTTGGGATGACACAGATGAGAGTGGCATTGAATGGGCAGACATGGATGGGTTGAGATCGGCATCTTTAGAGGGAATTCCTGAATCAATGAGATCATAGATCCATTTCAGAATTCAGTGTGAAATACTAAATGCTCTGACACAAACCAGAACGCTATGCAGTTATAATGGTGAAGACTGATCCCATGAAAGGGGTGACAAAATTCACCTTCTTCCTTTTCTGTAGAGGTAGAAGGCCTATGGATGTGAAATATTGTATATATCACCAGACTTGGTTGCTTTTTGCTGACCTGCTTTCCCCCCCCCCCCCTTTTTTGTCTTTTTGTAAAAAAAATCTTTACTTCAAGGGATGGCTCATTCCATAGACTAGAGGAGGAATAGAATTGGAAAATAAAATGATATAAACACAAAAGCTGTCAATAGACTCTTAAATGTATATAAAGAAAGATAAACTAAAAACAGTCTTCAAGAAGTAGAGTTAGAATTATATTATCACTAATAAACACTCTGCCACTGTGTGACCTCAGTTAAATCACTTAATCTCGTGGACCTCACTTTCCCAATCTGTAAAATAAGGATTTGGGTAAAATCGTCTCTAAAGCCCCATCCAGTTCTACAAGTTTTTGCTTATTGGAGTTGAATCATTTCAGTCTTTTCAGACTTTTTATGACCCCATTTGGAGTTTTCTTGGTAAAGATACTAGAGTGGTTTGCCATCTTCCTTTCCAGCTCATTTTATAGATGTGGAAACTGAGGCAAGCTGGGTTAAATGATTTGCCCAGAGTCAATTATATTATATTATATATTATATTATCTATTATAAGTTGATACTTTAAACACTGGAACCTTTATTTCCCAATATATCAATGCTTTCTCCCCACCACCCCCACTCTAAAAATAAAATAAACTATTTGGGAGGTTTGTCAGGATACTACTTCCAACCATTTTTAAGGGCCAGAAAAATTATTTGTAGAACAGCAAGCTCTGCTTCCTAAATAATTTAATTCAGTCCATTCCACACTTGCTTTTTTATATCTCCACCCAAGCAATTTCACCTGTTATGAAATTTTAATTGAGGGCCAGATGGTCGTGGTTTGTGCTCTTCTCCCTTCACCAATACAGTTGAGTGGGTTTCCTGTTGGGTTAGTCACTGGAGGCCAAAAAGAGACTCCACTTTCAGAGGGGAAGTGGGATGCTTTAATGAGACAATGGACTACAAACCCTGTCACAACTTCAAAAGAATTAGGTCCTGGCACAAGTTTGTAAACCTACTCTATTCAGGTTGCAGCTGCTCTTAGAAACCAAATCTCATGTATAGCCTATATCAGATTGTGCGCGGTCTTGGGGAGGGTGGAGGGGAGGAAGGGAGGAAGGGGGAGAAAAATTTTAAACTCAAAAGCATATGGAAGTGATTATTGATAAATCAAAAAAAAATTAATAAAAAAATAAAAAAAAAGAAACCAAATCTCCAAATGTCAAAAACTGGCCTGCAATTATGCACTTGCAAGAATCATGAAAATCATTACCATGACCAAATGAAACTGCTTTTCAGAATTTGATTTGCTCTTCCTTTTCTGAAAGCATAAAATCCAATTTCATTGCTCTCCACATTCCCTGCCAGTTTTTCTTTTTCTTTTTTGGTTTATTGAATTGATTTTCTTTTGACTTTTTCAAAGGTTACCATACTAGGTTTGGTTTAAACGTGCAGTAGGACTTGCTTGCTCTGATAAAGGAAGTTGGAATGGATCATCCATGGAGAATTTCAGATGCTTCTTATGAAACCCAGACGCAGCAACAGACTGAGTCATTGTCCTTCGACAGTTACTTCCTTATTTTCCCTGACCCTGGATCCTCAGTTCCCGATTGGAGTAAGGGTCACTAGCAGGTCTTCATGCCTTTATACCACCCTTCCTCATTCTCTGGTTTCCATGTTGAAATCTTAAGATCATTTATCACAATATCAACAGTTAACTAACAATTTGGATTTGGGGGTACATGGAAAGATGACTATAACATAAAGATTGTATTTTTAAATTTATATGCATCACATATCCTAAGGTTATGTTCTGCGAAGCAGTATAACCTGGTACAAGGGTTCTTTTTTTTCCCCTCAGACTAGCCACTTTATTTTTTTTCTTTTTCTTTTAATTTATGGAATAAAACAAGCATTTCTATAATATAGTACAATAAAAAAAGATGATTGCATATGAAACTGCAAATCCACCATGTACTACTTGCTATTCCTTCTAAATATACAACCAAGTTGTATATTTAGTTGTATTTAGTTTATATTTAATTGTATGTAAATTCCTTTTTTTCTTTTTTCTTCCCACCTCCCTGCCCCCCTGCCCCACCCTAAAGACGGCTACCATTATACACAATAGACATATGTATGTGTGTATATACACATGTAAAATTATTCTATACATATTTCTATTTATCATTTCTTTCTCTGGATGCAGATAGCTTAATTCAAGCATTTATTTATTAATATAGAAATATTTCAGAGGGTTCTTCAACTCAGAGGGGAAAATTATATCAATTTTTGCTAACCTCTAATGAAATCTGGCATTTTTTCGATTATGAATTTTCTTTAAGAAAAAACAAAACACCATTATTCTTAGAAGAGGTCTAATGATTTACCAGACTGCCAAAGGGGTCCATGACACATACACTAAAAAGCTTAAGAACTTTTGGTCTAATGGTTAGAGGAATGGCCTTGCTGTCGTTAAGACACACATTCAGATTTTGCCTCTGACACATACTGTGTGATCTTAGACAAGTTAATTAACGTCTCCTAGTTCCTAAGCAAGGCATTATGTAACTTACAGACAAGATACTGATCTGTATAGATGGTAGGAGGTTCTAAGCTGGGAGTTTGCCTCACAGGTGTAATCCTCCCTCCTACCCCTAAACTCATCCTAAGAGTGGAGACAAATGCCTAACCACAATGAACTCTGTTGTGTTAAAGAAATGAGAGAGAGAGAGAGAGAGAGAGAGAGGGAGAGGTAGAGGGAGAGAGAGGGATTGGGTCTCCCTATCTCACCAATCCCACTCCTGATCGACCTGCTCTGTTTTTGACTTGGGCCAGTTTGAAACTCTTTAAGCTATCTGGTGGTCTCCTGCTTCTAGGAGCTTACCATGTTGGTGCCAGACCAAGTGTGGACACCCAATCAGCTTAGCCCATTGCAGCTCAGAACTCCTAAACTTTATTGACCCAACAACTTCAGTTTACCCAGTAGCAGAGATTACAAGAATGTGTCACCATACCTGGAGAATTTTTCTTTTTTTTTTTTTTAGAAATGATAAATTTATGAAAATTATATAAAAATGTTAAAAATTGAAGAAAATTATTTTTAAATAGTGAAAATGTAAATATGTCTCAGAAGGGTATAGTGCTTTTTAAAAAATTGGTGTGTAGAATAAATCAACAATTCTATAAAAAAGTATATTACTAGGAGAATTCCACTTAAGGTAGCAATATGTCACAAGAGGTCCTAGAGTAGCCCAGCTTTCCCACAAATACCCCAGAAAAAAAAAATGTCAGGAGAACAGTGCCTGGCCTTGGCGAAATATCTCAGTTCAATAACTGAGGCTGTTATTGTGCTAAAAAGAAGAAAACTTTGAATATTGTAAGGATGGGGTCAAAACCACTGTACTCCATGTTAGCCTAGATATCTTAACTAGGTGAAAACACATTTCATTCAATCAATCATCAATCTTAAGAGTAAGTGAGAAAAGGCTTTGAAAATCATTTGACAAAGGAAATGATGCCAGACAAGAGAACTCTTCTAATTGGTTAGGGGTTCATTTTTTTGGTCCTGTATACAAGTACTGACAAGACTAGATGGGAGGAATTCCGGAAATTGAAGTGAGTATGAACTTCTGAATGAGTCCTCTAAGAAGGAACTGACTGGGTGGGGGAGGGGAGAAAATACCTCTGTCTTGTCTAGGTCACCTCCTATCCCCTTGGACTACAAAAGCATCTTCTACCTTAGAAGGGTCCATAGGATGCTGAGCTTCTTCCCATCTTCCTATCAGTGACCTAAATAGAATAAATCAGAGGGTGGTAGCATCTGTGGGATTTCTGGGTGGCTCAGTGGAGAGAGTGCCTAGCCTGGAGTCAGGAAGACCTGAGTTCAAATCCAGCCTCAGACCACAACAAATAGTTGTGTGACCCTGGACAAGTCACTTAACTCTTTGCCTCAGTTCTTCATCTGTAAAATGAG